ATACTTTTTCTTGCAACTGTACACTTTAAAATTCCCTTCAGTGATGCTGCTACCTTTTTTTTTTTAAATAACAGAGGTGGTGCTGCTACCTCAAAAGCCTACAGCATTCATCAGGATGGGACAGAAGAAGAGCGGCCTGGATGACCGCAGTACTATAGTGTTATGGTATCCAATATGAGAGTGAAAATCTGGCATAGCTTCTCAAAAAAATATAAAAATGTAGCTTTATTGCATCCATCACATAAAAGAAGAATCAGTACCAAGCATATTGACACTTTTCCGCCTCCTACAGAGGCCATAGTCCTCCTGCACACTGGTCGTTTTTTACAGCGGCTGTTTTTGGTTTTTGCGTTTTTTCTACTGCCAGTAAACCCCCGAGCATGTTATCCTATGTGTCCATGCAGACATAGGATAACATCAACGTTTTTTTGGCAGGGACGTTTTTTGGCTGGAAAAAAAACCCCAGGACTAGTGGATTTCTAGAGGAGTCTTTTAGCTGTAAAAATGCTCTAACGCTGAAAAACATGGTAAAATGCGGTAAACCGCAGCAAACCGGCATTTCTGGACTTTTTCTTACCAACCCCCCCCCCCCACCACCACACACACACACACACACACACACACACAAATGTTATTTTTTTTGTTGGTAAAAAAAAAACGCAAACACGTAAAACCGGTAAAACGTTGCTAAACGCTAATGAAGAAATGTTAAAAAAAACTGAAAAACTCATGTTTTTAATGTGACTTTGCACAGCTAACGTTATCAGCATTATCAAAACGTCCTGTGTGCATGAGAGCTTAAAAAAGACTAAAAAAAAAAAAAAAAAGAAAAAGACTTCTGTGCAGCTAAATATCACCCATGTGCAAAATGTATATGGGAAAGCCAGAGTCACACATGACTTAAAGAGGTAGTAAACTGGCAAAAAAAAAAAAAAAACCATGGCCCTGAGCAGGTATAAGCCATAATGTGCTAGTATGTAGCGCACACTAGCACATTATGGCAAACTTACCATTCAAATGAAGCGGAGCGCTGTCACCTCTGCCGGGGATTCCAACTTCTTCCTTTCGGGTCTGCAAGCTCCAGCTGTTTGAATGAGCGGGCTGTAGTGTCACTTAATCCACACTTTTGAAATATAAGGCCCCGTCACACTAGTAGTCCTCAACAGGGGCGGACTGACCATTCGAATACTCGGGCACTGCCCGAGGGCCCGGGGTCAGTAGGGGCCCCATGAGATGCCCCTGGTACCTTTTATTGGCTTTTTCATAGGCTTTTTTGGGTGTTGGCGAGGACACAGGGGCCCCATGATCCCCTATTGCCCTGGGGCCCCATGAGTTCTCAGTCCACCCCTGGTCCTCAAGCTACCACCAGCAAAGGATCGCTAAGAGCAGAGAAAACACTCACCTGCTCACTTTTTGGTTGAACCAGCAAGGTGTACTTCACTTGCTGCTCCTTGAGCGTGATTCCACAGCAATTTTGTCAGTGGGGAAGTAAGACAAAAAGAGCAGGCGAGTGCTCTGCTTAGCAATCCTGTTGCAGGTGAATTTATTTTAAAGGCTAATTCTGGCCATACATTATACAATTTTCTTGAGAATTTTGCTTTAGATTTACCAAAAACCAAATAATATGAGGTCAAACCTAAACAACATTTTCAATTGTATCCAATTAGGCAGGCCCTTGCACTACATAGTTTAAGATAAATCTAAAGGAAATTGGGCAGAAATTGGACGGAAAATTGTGCATAGTGTAAGTTCACCTTTTGTAAAAAAATAATAAATGCACATCCTTTTACAGGTTACTCTGCAGCCTGACCCATGGTCAGCAGATCGCGGGTGCAATGCCAGGATCCTGCAGACTCTCAATCAGTTGTCTGCCTGTACCTCCCTGAGACTGGCCATACATTATACAATTTTCCAGAGATTTTTGCTTTAGATTTACCAAAAACCAAATAATATGAGGTCACACCTAAACAACACTTTCAATTGTATCTAATTAGGCAGGCCCTTGCACTACATAGTGGAATGTAAATCTAAAGGAAATTGGGCAGACAATTGTATAGTGTATGGCCAGCCTTACTCTAGGTTCACACCGAGCATTTTCTGCAGCGTTTTGCAGAAACTCAGTATAGTCCATTTAACATGATTTCCTATGGATCATGTTCACATCTGCGCGTTTTCACCCAGTGTGTTTTTTTGGAAAGGGTCAGGGACCTTTTTGAATGCAAAAAGTTGCGTTTTTGGGTTTATAGACTTCACTGGAAATGCTGCAGAAAAGCATGTATTGCGTTTTTTTGATGCGGTTTTGATGCGTTGCATTTTAAATCTGCCTAGCAACAAGAGAAAAAAATGGAAAAAAAAAATGCAAAACGCAGCAAACATGCAAAAAGCTACGCAAAGCGCAATGCAGAAATGGCTAAAACACAACCTGCATAGGTGTGAACCTAGCCTTATAGGCAGGCAGTTACTGAATGGCAGGAAGACTCAATGAACTAAGAGCTTGCTAACTAGCACCCTCACAGAAAACTACAAGCTGTCAGCCGCAGCCCCCCACTGACAAGAGGAGGGGATCAGGGAAGAAGGTGCAGGAGCTGAAACATGTTACATGTTCCACCCTAAAAACAGGTGGGACACGCAAAAAGTTCCAAAGATGAACTTATCTTAGAAGCTTTGCTGAGTTCCATTTTAAAATTGCTAAAAATATATTTAGGTAATTGTGTGCGTCTTCATATAACGTTTTTGCCTGTAGTGTTGCGAATAAAATGAAAAATTACACTTTTATTTTCAAACAATTTTATTATCTATAAAAATATTAAATAAAATCAGAGTTGTGATTGTTCTCAGGTCATCATCAATAACTTCACCTATTAATTGGTCCCTGGATATTGGCAAACGAAACTACATTTGTTCAGATATACTTTTTAACTTGCTACAGTTATCAGCAGCAATAAACAGAGCTCACTGTTTGAAGCCGTAGCGTATTTATGCCTCTAATTGATTGAATTTTTATTTTGAAAATGCATTCTTAGGGTTTTTTTTTTCTAAAATCATTCTGGTTAGAGTTTTCCATCTTTTGTTACTCCTCTTTGTTGGAAGTGGCAAGCATCTGTTGGTGCCCACAACTATTATGGTTTGACTATTCAATTGGTTTGATGTTTTGATCAGATATATACAGTTTCTGATTTTTTTTAATATTTAGGCCAAATAAAAAAACATTATAAAATAGGCCAGTAAAAAGATTTCTAATCATTTTAAAGCTTAGCCAAACATGTCATAATGTGCAGCTTAACAGCTCCTTAGATGTGGTGACTGCATTAATTTTTTGTTTTCAGGTTAAGTCAATTTTCTTTAAGTAGAAATGTTGGTCCTGCAATAAATTTGGTGTTCTTGTAACTTCCTGTGCAAAACATATTTCCCCAATGTTATGAAGATGATTACTTGTTTGCAGTACGAATTATGATCGCAACCTAGGATGACAACGCTTTTCCTTCATAGATACAGTACAGTGAGTGAAGTGTGTTCCTGGCAGAATAAACAAGGAGAAAATGTAGGAAATATATCTATAAAAAAAGAAAACAAATGCAGTCACGGTATCTAAGGACTGGTAAGCTACAATATATTAAAATTTTGCTCTTGGGATTAGATCATATTTAAAGTGTGAGATGTATTAAAGTAGAACTATAGGCAAATCTTTTTTTTTTTCATTTTGAATAGAGCAAGAGAGGGCTATAACCTCTGTAGATTTTCTTTTTTTGCCATCTGTGTCCCATTGTAGAGATTTTCCTTCACTTCCTGTCCCATAGCCAAACTGGAAGAGAGAGGAAATCCCTGCAAATTAAGGGAATTCCTTGGGGACCCCCAGGTCAGCAGAACTAGTGTCCCCATTAGAAGAATTCCTCTCTATTACTTTTCTTTGGACAACCCAAAATATTGGATTTTTTTTTACTTTCACTTTTGATAATAATAACTAAATAGGACAAATATAGTAGTTAAATATCCCGAATGGGGGCACAGATAGCAATAAAAACTGAAAAAAAAACGTTACCCAAAACTTAAAAAAAAAGTTTTGCCTTTAGTTATACGTTAAACAATTTTTTTTTTTATAGTTATATACTTTTCAGGTTTTTTTTAAAACCCAAACCTAATATCGATCAAATGGTAGATGAACTATATTTTGCTCATTGATGACTATTTTTAGCTTTATTATTTGTATAATTAAACTGTAATTTAAAAAAGACAGACTCCTATGTGGCTGAAAAGAAAATCTCAGATTCCAGTGAACATTTAGAATATATTAAAAAAAGAAATAAAAAATCAGTCCGCGTTACTGGCATTAGCCTACTTTCAACCAAAGCATTGTCTTCTTGGCCTTCCTGGTGTTCAACACATAAGCCATGAAATGATCTCTTGGGTCTGATCTCATAATGTGCATCCTCAATAGGAATCATTTCATAGATCGGGAATCTAAGGGAAGTTCAGTGAGCTCTTTATACAACAAACAGTACACACTGGGATCACAGCTATACATTAGGAGTATTGTAGGCACCAAGGAATTAACAGCTAGTTAGCTAAACTGCACACAAATATATCACGCCTGCAGAACCTTGTTAGTTATTGCTTTTACAAATTATTCCACAGCATTTTTATGTCTTCATGAATGTACAGTTTCTGTAGCTCTGCTCTTTGAAATATTGTTTAGGCCTTATTGGAGGCAAATATATGTAATATTTGAGTGTTGATCACCAATAGCCACAGTGGGTAGGAATATTAAAAGTCCCGACACACATCTTACAGATACAGATGTAATAATGAGGTCATTCCACGAAAGTTGGCTGTTAGGCGAGTTGTGAGTTGAACTGTCCCTTGAGAAGCGGTTGGTTTTTGCTGCTGTTGTTGTCACCTTTATGAGGCAAAGCATCAGTCCCTTTCCACTTCCATGTCCACAGCAGTAGTATGAGGGCACTGATGTGGGATCAGCTCAGCTTTATCATACAGCACAAGCTGCTCTATACATTAGTCTCCAGCTCACTGATCTCTATCGTACAGTGATCCTTGTCTGTGCACTGCTCGGGTGACTCAGGAAGTTCTGGTTCGGGGTCCACTTGGACTTGATGGAACTCTGGTGCTGTGTGGGAGAGGTGGGGGGCACTCCGGCTCTTAACACAACCATTCCGCTGGTACGCCATGATCTGGTGGATACTTATTGGCTTTGTTTCACAAATCAGAGGAACCTGAATAACACATGAAAAAGGCTTTAAGAACTTATGGCATTCATTGTTGGCTCTTACATTTCACATATGCTTATACATACGCTAAACAGATTACTTATTTTTTTAATATAATCTAGAAGCCAATAAATTTACAGCTGAACCCCAGGCAGGTTTTTTTATTAATATATCGCATACACAAGAAACATGGTGACAGAAAGAGAAAATGGAACTACTTCTTCCTTCACTATCCAGTCACAGGCCAGGGTAGGGACAAGACCTGTAGGCAGTGCCGGTAAAAGGTCATCCAGCACCCAGGGCACCCCTTCCTTCCAGTAAACCATTGTGCCTAGGACACCTGCCCTTTCTGCCCACCCCTGCCTGTGTTATTTAACTTCAGCCAAGGAAAAATTAGGATTCTAATACATTTTCACAATTTGTTGGACTCAAATTGTGAAAATGTATTCTGGTCTCACTCTGTAATGATGCCTTTTATACTATGTTGCTGATTGATTATTTCCAACACTCCACCTTGTTTTTTTTTTGGTAGATTGAGAAAATCAGGATTCATGTCCTGCCAGACAGGGCTGTGCTGTGTGGCAGAGCTGTGAAAATCTTAGAAATGGATGCACATATATACAAATCAAATGTACAGTAGCTCCCATGCATATATTTCATCAGAGTATTTAGTTGTTTGCCTTGGAGTTTAGCTTTAAATCACAAGCTACTTTTACAAAAAAAAAATCACAGACATAAAGTGGTACTAAAAACATTTCTAGGGTTATCCAACTGTATAGGGTGAGTAAAAAACAATATAATCAGTACACTGCAGGGAAGCAACTGGAATAGTAGGGTTTCTGACATCACAAACCTTCTGCTGGCCTATCAGGAGAGGATTGGGTAGTTGTGGGGAAAAGAGTGGGGAGGGTTTTTTTTTTTTCCCTCATAGTAGTGTTAGGTCTAATATTGCTTATATAGTAATAGACCAGCCCACCATACTTCTCCTTCTTAGCTGTAGGCAACTCCGTGAGATACAGATTGTACCCTCCATGGTAATCTTATATAATTTTCAGATCAGAGATGCCCAATTAAAAAAACAAAAACATTTAGGTGGACTTTAGCAGGATTGTAATACCTTGATGTTTCGTAAACATCTACAGAACATGGCAGGTTGATCCTCCTTTTGAGATCTGAGATCTCGGCTAATGAAGAATTTGTTTTGGGTGATCTAATTCTGTAAGAAACTTTCTAGTAGCTACCTATGGTGTTTTCTTATAGGGAGTGATAGCACTCACATGTCTAGGATGACCCAATAGGACCAAAGGTCAGTGCACAACATGCCTAGATTTTTTCAGGACTGATTGCCTTCACATGCTTAGGAGCACCACATGAAGGACAATGCATGACCTGTCTTATCTCAGGAAAAAGAGTGGCTAAAAATTACAGTCAAGTTTGGGGAATTTGCAATCTGTACAAGCTGTCTGCCATTACCTATGGACATGAAGAGTAGAACGTTTTGAAACTGATCTGATGGTATGTAAATGTTGGTAGGAAAAACCAAGCTGGCCATGAGAGATCTCTTTACTTCAATTTAATTGCTACAGTGATGCTCAGTAGCGCATAAAAATGTTGGATACTGCTTGTAAACATGAAAAGCAATTAAATGTATTTTAATTTTTTCCATACGTTCCACTGAGGGGCACCATATGTATTTTCTGACAGGCTACCTTACATGAGTTCACCCTTAACTAATTCTTGGGTACCAAGAGAGAAACCAACATGCATCAGTGCAGCTTTAACAGGACCTGTGTCGCACCTCCCCCCCAACTGGTTTTATGGTCTACGGCAGATTTGCTGGAAAGAGTGCACAGCATCTCACAATAAAAAGTTCCTACTGAGATGCTTTATTCTATTCTCATGAAAACCATCTAATGCACCAGAAGCATAGCGTTTAGGGTTTAAGAATCAACAGCTGAGTGGGGTTGTCTGAATCCCATTTGGGCTGTGCTGAGTGGGACCTTGTGGGTCCTGAGCAGCTTTAGAACAATGTACACCTGCTCTAAAGGTAACTATTGGGGCAGTTAAGGCCCACCACCAAGCAATCACTAAAATTAATGATCATGGAATAAACTTGCAAATTCTGAGTTGGCAAAAATGTACGTATGCTAAAAGGGAGGAAGAATTTAGAAAACATTGCCTGTGCTGGCCTCCCTTGGTGGAAAACAATAGCCATCAGCTAAGAAAAAAAAAACAACCCAGACAATAAATTGCCCCAGCCATAAAAATTTGAGTAGGGAATGTCTGCTAAGGATGAGGAGGGCTACAAATGTTCCTCTGATCAGATTGGGTGAGCCTTCTCTTATGATTCTTCACCACAGGGAATCCTGTGGTCTTACTATATGTTTTATTTGAAAAACTAAAGAGTTAGAGCCATTTATAAACCATTGACAGCTGAAAAATGTTTGTTGCATGAAAAGGTTAATAGAAATATATCTTGATTTCCTGTCAGAGACGCCCAAAGTCAAAGAATTTCCAGATTTCCGTTCTAACTCACAACAGGTTGAAAGATCAGTAAAAATAGACCCAGACGTGAGGAAATAAAAGCAAAGCCACAGATGGAGGGGAGAGAGTGAAAGATATAAACACAAAAAAAAGGATTTATATACATGGATATAAATAATGTGCAATGGTAATAGGAAGAGAGCACGAAAGAGAAAACAGACATAGACAGTTAACAGCCTATGCTGCCCTTTTTCCAAATTCACAGCAATGTCTACCTGTATTAGCCTCAATTCATAAAAGCATAACACATGGGATTATAAAATAACACTTCTTGAGATAACAAAGCTTGCAACGATTACATATTCATTTAATGTGGAAAAGAAATTTATTCTACTCCAATGCAATTTTTATTTTAATGAACTTAAATGTATTTTATGTGAAAATGATCATATGTTAAAATATAGAGAAAAAGTATATAAATGTGGCTCTGTGAATTGAAGCTATGGATTGTACCTGTAAAACACATTTTAGTTCTGCAAAAGCACAAGGTCAAAAAAGGCTGGAGCATTTACTGTGAAGTAGGGTGTGTGCTTAAAAACATAAGGACATGTGGAACACTGAGGTCCTAGGTTCAAGTATACTGTATGTGTCTGTATAAGTTTCTCTGGCTACTCCAGTTTCCTTCCTCAAAATAATTGAGTACTGTCCGTGATACTTTTTTTATTTGCACTAACATACAATTTTGAGGACAAGCTTTCCGGGTATGTCCCCTTCTTCAAGGTCTAAGTAGTACTACTCACAAAGTTTCCTCAAAATAAAAATGATGGTTGATTTTCTTATTCAACTCGTTTATTAAGTTTTAAATGTAAGTATTACTATAAACGTGTACATCAGATGAGCTATGCAGGTTGGGTGTCATAAATGTACATAAAGATAGTGTACAATGAGTATATTACTGCACTTCCTGCAGAAACCGGTGAGAATCGCTTCGATAACTAGCACAAAACTATCAACATGATGGCCAGGAGAAGGGCGGTGGGGGGGGGGGGGGGGGGGGGGGGGGGGGGGTTGGTAGAGGGACGAGAGAAAAAAAAAAAAGAGGAGGAAGAGAGTGAGGTGGTGGTAGGTCTATGGGGGGAGGAGGGTAGGAGAGGGGAGGAGGGCGGTGGATGGATCTGCTATCCTAACTATAAGGACTGGACTTCTTGGTTGAAACCCACTGGAAGGTAACGTAACGACCATGGTCCCCAGACTGCTTGATATTGTTTGACCCTATCTGTTAGATGTACTTGGATCTTTTCATGCAAAAGAACAGCTCTACTTCCTTTTCACAACTGTTCTGGTCTGTTCTCACCTGTCCTTTTCACAAAATGTTTACTATTTGTAGAGCTCAAGCTACTCCACACACAACTGAATGACTCATCACAGAAAAATGACTCATCTCTCTCCATCTCCTTTCTTTCTTGTTTTCAGACTGGGCCCTACAAGATGCCATTAAAAGAGAGAGAGATGAGAGAGAGAGAGAGAGAGAGAGAGAGTCTGAAGGAAAACTGCTGCTGTCCTCTCTGTGTAAAATATTCACAATGCTTTGTGACACCAGTGCCAAGGGTGTGCATTGAATCAGATATTTATTTGTGGAATATTATAAAAAGAAAACATATAATAGACCAGTTTTTGAAATTTAAACATTATAAATATTTAGAAACTGAATAAATAATAAATTCTAAATCCAAGATAGTTTCCATGGGGTAGGATAGCAAGGCAAGCCAGAGGATCACTGACAGGGAAACTTGATAATAATTAAAGTTGAACTCCAGGCAAACAGCTAAATATGCAATTGAAATGCATATTTGTGACCAGTGTTACCTGCCACAGGATGTGGAATTCTGTTAAGCCAGTCCTGTAGTTTAGGCACCCCTGCAAGACACCATAGCCAGGAACTGGACCTTTCTGTAGACCACACTGCTTCTAGACGAGTGGTTCTCAACCTTCCTAATTCCGTGACCCTTTAATACAGTTCCTCATGTTGTGGTGACCCCCAACAATAAAATTATTTACCCAGTAATTATAATTTATGAAGTGTCATTTTACCTCCAACACTGCTGCTTTCAACACAGTAGCTGCTTTCTCAACACAGTAGCTGCTTTCAACACAGTAGCTGCTTTCTACACAGTAGCTGCTTTCAACACAGTAGCTGCTTTCTACACAGTAGCTGCTTTCTACAGAGTAGCTGCTTTCTACACTGTAGATGCTCTTTACACATCGGAAATATGTGTTTTCCCGATGGTCTTAGGCGACCCCTGTGAAAGGGTCGTTCGACCCCCAAAGGGGTCACGACCCACAGGTTGAGAACCACTGTTCTAGACAATACAGCCTGGTCAAGGACCAACCCCAGCCTGTGACTGGACAATGAAGGTACATCAGCACACTTGCTGATGTCATTTCTAATTCTTTCCTATAAGCACTCTTCCTTCCAGCCTGTTTGCAGGTTGCAGGGGGTTGTAAGAGGCTAATATATACATAGATTAGAAAAATTAAGCTATTTCTCTGTAAATAGTGACTTCATAATTTACCAGTAAATTATTGGAATAAGGTTTTTTTTATCGTATCTGCCTGGAGTTTATCTTTTATTATAAAGGTAATATAGTTATTTATACATATCAGAAAAAACTAAATTTTGGTTGGTAATAAAATCTAAAGAGACCTTGTTACCCAGGGAACGTTTATAACCCTACGAACCTTCCTAGGTTCATTCAGACAGGCCAGGTAGTGTTGGAGTTTGCTCCTAAGCCTGCACATTCCTATTGGTACATCACTGTGATGGGCAGCCTCACTGGACAACAGGAATATGCAGGAGGTAGGAAGCTTGGCATGCCAGAACAGCCATCATTTAGCTGTGACAAAAAGCTTTAGGAAGCTGCTGATAAGTACAAGCCTTTCTAGGTCTCTTCGCTTCATATTTGCATCTGTTTTGCCATCTTTCTCCCAGTGACGGGATCTCTTTAAATAATTATTTAACATCTAGTTATACCTTACCGTAAAGAAATTGGTTCAATTCTTACCTTTACCTCATCACTCTGTTTAGCAAAGTCTTTCCTGCAGATATGTGCCATGATCCCCGCGGCTAAGGCATCTCCAAGCACATTAATCATGGTCCGGAATCTGTCTCTAAAGATAAAGATACAATACTGGTTGTTATTCCCCAATACAGTTCTCCCAAATTATCTCTAGCCTGATCTTTTGGCAGTGTTCAGTCTTCCTCACTTCATTTTTAAATTGGCAGGAATTTAAAGTGGTTGTAAACCCTCTCATGTACCCAGGGAATTGATTGACCTGTCAAGTGCTACACAGAGATTAAACAAATCCTCCTACGTAGGTTTTATTTGATTATCTGCAGTCTTCTCTTCTCTACATCCCTTCAAACGGGTTTCACAGAGGTGGGAGGTCTTGACCAAACCCCTGAGGAAGTCACGTGTGTAGTGATGAAACGTGTTGGGGCAGGGCCTCAAATGATATCATGACGCTCTACTGGGTTAACGAAGGTGGCTATCAAATCGGAAGTAGAGGCGGTATTGGGCAGCACAGTGTCTAAATGGTTAGCACTTTCGCCTGGCAGTACTAGGGTCATCGGTTCAAATCCCAACCATGGCACCACCTGCCTAAAGTTTTCATGTTCTCCCTGTGCCCGTGTGGGTTTCCTCTGGGTACTCTGGTTTCCTCCGACACTCCAAAGACATGCTGGTAGGTTAATTGGCTCCTGTCTAAATTGGCCCTGGTATGTGTATGTGTGAATGTGAGTTAGGGACAGTAGACTGTACACCCCTTGAGGGTTAGGGACTGATGTGAATATACAATATATATGTAAAGCGCTGTGTAAATTGATGGCGCTATATAAGTACCTGAAATAAATTGACTTTTTCTCAGAGTTATTATTATTATTATTATAATACAGGATTTATATAGCACCAACAGTTTGCACAGCTCTTTACAATATAAAGGGAGACAATACAGCAACAATACAGTTCAATACAAGAGGGTTAGGAGGGCCCTGTTCCTTGGTGCTTACAATTTAAGAGGGAGGGGCTGGTGGTACAAAAGGTAATAACTGTGGGGGATGGACTGGTAGGAGGAATAGAAGATTCGGTTATTAGCTGAAGGGGATAGGCTTCCCTGAAGAGATAGTTTTCGGAGATCGCCTAAAAGTGGGCAGAGTAGGCGATAGTCTGATAGTATGGGGTAGAGAGTTCCAGAGGATGGGGGAGGCTCTGGAGAAGTCCTGGAGAAGACCATGGGGAGGAGGAGACAAGGGAGCTAAAGAGCAGGAGGTCATGCGAGGAGCGGAGAGGACGGTTTGGGTGATATTTGGAGACAAGATTGGTGATGTAATTGGGGGCCGAGTTATAAATGGTTTTATATGTGATTGTTAATGTTTTGAGTTTTGAGTTTACATGCTGTTTCCATTTGGTACGATTGGGCAATGAGTGGAAACTGTATATGTTATGATTACAAATAAAATGTTTTAAAGGATAAAGCACTATGTTAAATCTGTTTGCATGAGGTGGAGTGGTTAATGGAAGGAGACTAACTAAAGTTGTGGAGATTGTTTTGAGCCCGCATAGCAGATCCATATGGTTCATTAAGGGCCAAAGGTGTATATTAACCGAACATTAAATTGTGAGGTCGTATATTTGAGGTGAGCAGACATCTGGTGGTGGTGTTTTTTGAGCATGAAGTTGGATTAAGCACTAAAGTTGTCACAGCATAATATTTTCTTTCACTGAAGATAAAGAATATTTTATTTTATATATTATATTTTTATATATTATATATTTTATATATATTATATTTTGATTTTTGGGAGTTTGTGGATTTGTTAAAGGCACTGGAATTGATGTTTTAATATATACACCAAGCGCTGCACTAAATGATTGTTTAATCCCTAAAATATATTAATGCGCATTTAACCCTATGGAAAAATTGCTGTCTAGTCACAAGGTCTCTTTAAAGTTTACAAGGTTGCCCTATTTTATATTTTTTTTATTATCTTTTGGTTTGGTTTGTTTATTTTGCTTCCTGTGATTCTGTTAGATAAATTCAAACATGCAAATAATTTTTGGGCCACCTGTAGCCCATTCAGTCTTTCTTTATGGCTCCAACCAATCTAAGGAATTAAAATGGATGAAATCTTAGCCTTTTCTGTAACTCATTATGGTGACGCTTCCAAATTTTACAAGTTGCTGACATGTAAAATGAAATACATTTTTGGAGATTTTAAACTATACAGTACTTAAAAAAATGCTATTCTAATCTATACTATAAAACTATACTTAAAAAAAATTGATCTGCTAATCTGTTAGATCATAGAAGTGCAGTTACAGTGTTTCAATTATTAAAGTGTGACCCTCAGTAGAAATATTGTGGCCCCTTACTGGATTTGCCTATCCAAATTTAGCACTTTAGTATAGTTTGAGTTTGATTATATATAAACCTCCCTCTGTTGGGGAGGACTTAAGGGTCAGTGAGAGAAACAAAAGACATTGGGGAATGCCTGACATTATTATTATTATTATTACTACAAGTTTATATAGCGCCAAAGGGTTTGCTCAGCGCTGTACAATAGGGGGGACAATACATGGCACAGTACAACAACAAACAACGTACGAGGGGTAAGAGGGCCCTACTCTTACGAGCTTACAATCTAGGAGGGAGGGGTAAAGGTACAGTAGGAAGTGGCTGAGGGGGATGAAGTGGTGGGAGGAATGAGGGAGGATGGCCGTTAGGTGAGGGTGGGGTAGGCTTCCCTGAAGAGATGGGTTTTGAGGGAGCGCCTGAATGTGAATAGGGAAGGCGACAGTCTGATGGATTGGGGCAGTGAGTTCCAGAGGATGGGGGAAAAACTGACCTGACATGCCTGGAAAGGCATGAAAAGGCCATCATTCCATTCACCACCTGCCAGAGAGGTACACCATATTGGCAAAAAGAGTATTGGTTGGCCTGCCTTTACACGCACATGAACTTTAATGGCATCCCAGTCTTAGTCCGTAGGGTTCAATATTAAGTTGGCCCGCCCTTTACAGCTATAACAGCTTCAACTCTTCTGGGAAGGCCGTCCACAAGGTTTAGGAGGGTGTCTATGGGAAGGTTTGACCATTCTTCCAGAAGCACATTTGTAAGGTCAGGCACTGATGTCGGATGAGAAGGCCTGGCTCACAGTCTCCGCTCTAATTCATCCAAAAGGTGTCCTATTGGGTTGAGGTCAGGACTCTGTTCAGGCCAGTCAAGTTCCTCCACCCTAAAATCACTCATTAATGTCCAAATACTTTTGGTTATATAACGTATGTAGGAACCTTGTTCCCTTACAGGGTATTAGTGTTGGAACATTTTCAACCCCATTGACAGGGTTTCTTTAACTCACTAGCAGCACCATTGCCCATTGCTCCATTCCCTATTGCTGTTAGGTTCAAAATCCTTGTAATTTTGAATACAGGAAAACATGTGACTGCTCCCAATTCAGTGCCTAAAATCTGAGTGGCCAATGGCAAGGCTGCAGCGCTGTCACACAAGAAATATTGTGGTGGGTGCTTAGCGGTTTATAAGAATCTACCTTTAAGAAAAGGATATTTGAGGATTGGCAGTGGGGAGTAAGACACTAGGCCTCAATGGTGCTAGTGGGTTATAGCACCAGATGGTACCTTATGCACAGATGCGATTGTTGGTTTTTCTATAGGGAAAGGTTATAGACGTGTTCCAAATTTTTCATTTTAAGCTCAAAAAATGTCTGTCATTCCTGCTATGTTTAAATGCTGTCCTGGTTAAAAATCTTCCAAAATATTTGTTTCCATGTTCTTACAGCAAAAAGAAATGATGCTCATTTCTAAATGTTAGCTCGAAAGCTTTGAACAAAAATAATATTTCTTTTAGTTAGCTAGTGTTTTAATTTATCAAGATACTTTCATACATTAAAGTAGATACTTATTGATGAAGAGAAGGGCGCTGGTGTTATCACATCTATGCATCACATCTAAGTACCACACAATACTGTGTCCAATTCTGGAGACCTCACGTACTAAAAGATATTGATAAGATAGAACGAGTCCAGAGATGGGTAACAAAAATGGTGAAAGGTCTGGGGGATAAAACATATCAAGAACGTCTTCAGGAACTTAATATGTAAAGTCTAGAGGAAAGAAGGGGAAGTGACTGAAACCTTTAAATACATCAAGGGGGTGAATATTATTATTATTATACAGTATTTATAAAGCGCCAATAGTTCGCTCAGCGCTGTACATTACAAAGGGGGACAGAACATGTGACAGAACAATAACAATACAATGCAAAACATGAAGGGATCGAGGGCCCTGCTCTTTCGAGCTTACAATCTAGGAGGGAGGGGATAGTGGTACAGGAGGAGATAGCTGTGGGGGATGGAGTGGTAGGAAGAGTGGAGGAGGTCGGCAGGTTAGCAGGGGGTGGGGTAGGCTTCCCTGAAGAGATGGGTTTTCAGGGTGCGCCTAAAGGAGAGGAGAGTAGGTGATAATCTGATGGGTTGGGGCAGGGAGTTCCAGAGGATGGGTGACACCCTGGAGAAGTCTTGGAGGTTCAGGAGGGCAGTATTTTCAACATGAAACCAAAATCAAGAACATGGGGACATGACCTGAAACTAACTGGAAGAAAGTTCAAAACTAATCTCATAAAGTACTATTTTACTGAAAGAATAGTTGATACTTGGAATAAACTGCCAGTAGAGGTAGTGAGCCAGTCAACAGTAAATAGTTTCAAACATGCTTGGGACAATACTCAGACAAAAAAAGTTAACCCCCCCCCAAAAAAACAAAACAAACCCCCCCAAAAATCACCCCAAAACAAACAACCCCCCCAAAAAAGACCCCAAAAAACGGGCAGACTCGGTGGATCACTCTGCCTTTTTCTGACGTCCCTTTTCTATGTTTCTATGCCACTTTCTGTATAATCCAGGACCACCCACTGTTGACAGAGGACTGAAGATCATGTCATGTGATTGGCCAGAAGCATTGAGCCCTGAGTTAACCCAGCATTTCATATTCTTTATTTGTGCCTGCTGTATGTGCTTGTATGGAAAAGTATTATGTTCTCCTTGTATTGCTTCATTTGTGTGAAATCCCTGGTGTTCCTAACAGTCCCTCTGCTTTCCTATTAAAAACTGACCACACTAGGTATCAGTTTTCTGACTATAATTAGATCTCAGCCTTCTCTCCTCCAATGATCAAACTTCTGCTGACATGCCCCCTTCCCCCTTGCATAGCCATTCACTGGGAAGATCAGTGTCCTGCTATTTCTCCTCCCTGAACTCCTTATGCAGCTGAAAACAGGTGGGTATGTGATCAATTATAAAAAAGGAAAAAAAAAAGTATTTATATATTTTTTTATATCTATACACAAATGCTTTGCATTTCATGTCTATTTTAAGCTGAACAGGTTGTTTTACAAGTTAAAGGTTTGCATATACTTCAATCAATAGAAATTATATATAGTGGGTATAGAAAAGAATTACCCCCCCCCCCCCCCCCCCTTTAATTTAATCACATTTTGTTGCTTTGAAATTAAGACAGACACAACTTTTGTTTTTATCCAGCTGTATTTACTCAGTGCATTTTATAATATCCATATGAAAGATTTAACACCAACATGTCAGAAAAAAAAAAAAAATAGAATCACTGAGTTGTAAAAAGGATGGCACCCCTCCTAAAAATGACTTGTAAAACACAATCAGGTGTAGCTAATCACCTTCTCAATGGCACAGAAAGCCATTTGACTTTCAACTTTTATTAGCTGTGGTCATTTTGAATAACTAAACCCGAAAAGAACTTTTCTGGAGCATTTCAGTCCCTGATAGTGCAACTGAAGAAAACAATCAACAATCAATTATGGGTGGCAAGGCACTATCAAAAGATCTCTGGGATAAAGTTGTGGACAGGCACAAGTCAGGAGATGGATACAAAAAATGTCAAGGGCTTTATCAATGCCTAGAAGCACAGTGAAGTCTATTATTAAGAATTGAAAGGTATTTAGTACAGCACAGACCCTCCCTGGATTAGGACATCACTCCAAACTGGAAGAAAGAACCTGGATGTAACTAGGCAGAGTGGCTACCAAGAGACCTACAGAAACTCTGAAGCAGTTGTAGAAATTGATGACAAAGAGTTGTCATTGTGTGCATGTGACAACAATATCACAAATTCTTCACAAATGTGGCTTGTATAGGAGGGTTGAAAGAAAAAAGCCACTCCTCAAGGCCACATGCAGCCATCGCTGAGCTTTGCCAGAACTCATCTTGAAGATTCTGAGGCCACATGGAAAAAGGTGTTATGTTCAGATGAGACTAATATTGAATTATTTGGCTTCAACACTAAACGATATGTCTGGCGGAAATCCAATACAGCTCATCTTTCAAATAACACCATTCCTACAGTAAAGCATGGAGGTGTTAATATCCTCTTATGGGGGGTTCTCTGCAGCAGGGACTGGAGCACTTGTCAGGATAGAAGGAGAAATGGATGGGGCAAAATACTGTCAAATTCTTGAGGAAAATCTGCTTCCCTCTGCCAGAAAGTTGTGACTGGCAATAAGGTTTACTTTCCAGCATGACAATGACCCAAAGCACACAGCAAAAATGACCATCCAATGGTTGAAGGAGAAAAAGGAGAATGTCCTTGCATGGCCTTGTCGGAGCTCAAACTTAAACAACATTGAAAATTTGGAACGACTTAACCACTTGCCTACCAGGCACTTATACCCCCTTATTTACCAGGCCAATTTTCAGCTTTCAGTGCTGCCGCACTTTGATTGACAATTGCGCGGTCATGCAACATTGTACCCATATGAAATTTTGATAATTTTTTTCTCACAAATAGAGTTTTCTTTTGGTGGTATTTAATCGCCACTGGGCGCTTTACTTTTTGCGCTATAAATAAAAAAAGTGCAAAAAATTTGAAAAAAAAAAAAGTTTCTTTGTTTCTATTATAAAATTTTTCAAACAGGAATTTTTTCTCCTTCACTGATGTGCGTTGATGAGGCAGCACTGATGGGCACTGATAGGTGGCACTGATGGGCACTGATAGGCAGCACTAAAGGGCACTGATAGGCAGTACTAATGAGGTGGCACGGATAGGCGGCACTAATATGCAGCACTGATAGGCGGCACTGATAGGTGACACTGATGATGGGTACTGATAGATGGCACTGACTGGCATCACTGCTGGGCACTGACTGGCGGCACTGACTGGCACAACCCCTGGGCACTGACTGGTGGCACTGACTGGCAGCACTGCTGGGCTGCACTGGTGGGTGGCACTGGTGGGCAGCACTGGTGGGTGGGCACAGGTGGGTGGCACTGGTGGGCACAGGTGGGTGGGCACAGGTGGGTGGCACTGCTGGGCACAGGTAGGTGGCACTTCTGGGCACAGGTGTGTGACACTGCAGAGTGGCACAGGTGGGTGCACTGCTGGGCACAGGTGGGTGCACTGCTGGGCACAGGTGGGTGATCTGCTGGGTACAGGTGGGCGGAGCTAGTGGGCGCACTGCTGGGCACAGGTGGGCGGAACTTGCGGGTGGCACTGCTGGGCACCGATCATCAGGGCACTGATCATCAGTGCCCTGATGATCGGTGCCGATCCCCGCTCTGACAACTGTCGGTTATCGGCAGTACTTTCCTCACGATCTGACAGCGTGAGGAAAGTGCAGCCGAGAACCGGCACTTGCATTTCCCTCTAATCAGCGTGTCATTGGACACCGCTGATCACGTGGTAAAAGGCCGCTGTGATTGGCCTTTTACCACATCACGTGATCAGCTGTGTCCGTAGGACACAGCGATCACGGAGATCGCCGGGTGCGCGCCCCCTGGGGCGCGCAGGAGAGCGCGTTCTGGGAGGACGTCATATGACGTCCACTCAGAACTGGCCGGCCGCAGTGTAGCAGTCATTCGGCTATCTGTGGTCGGCAACTAGTTAAAGACTGCTGTCCACAAACGGTCACCATTAAATGTGACTGAACTTGAGCAGAGCTGCAAAGTAGAGTGGGCAAATATTGCAAAGTCTAGATGTGCAGAGTTAGTAGAGACATATCCCAACAGACTAAAGGCTGGAATTAAAGCAAAAAGGTGGTTCAACAAAATATGGACACAAGGGGGAGATCCTTTTTCCAACTCAGTGATTCTGTTTTTTAATTTTTATGTATTGATTTCTGTTTTCTGGTATTATATCTCTCACTTGGATGTTTTAAGTTGCGCTGAGTAAATACAGCCGAAAAAAAAAAAAAATTGGTTTATTTTAAGGGGGGATGTGATTCTTTTCCTTACCCACAGTATATTATTCTAAACTGACCTAACCTAATATGTAACACTTTTTAAAAAGATTGTTTGACTCAGCTAGTATGCTTATACAGTTTATAACTTACATTAAAAAATTTAAAAATGGGAAGTAAATACTTCTATTTGGCTGCAGCAAGTGGAATGGTCTCAGCTGTGAAAACAAGGCATTCTTGGGGTGAAAATGTTATCAGGGAACATGAATAGTGAATTTAAACACATTATACTCACAGTGCCCAGTCAACTGCGATGATTAAAGTGATGTCATCAGTGGGGAGGCCAACAGAGGTGAGCACAATGACCATGGTCACCAGTCCAGCTTGGGGTATCCCTGCTGCTCCTATACTGGCTGCTGTAGCTGTGATACTGGAAGGCAGAGAACAAATACATATGCATATATATATATATATATTTTTTTTTTTTTTAAATGTGGTATGTTGCTGTCATGGCTCAAAGAAAAAAAACTGACATTGCTCTTTTTTCCTCAACAAAAGTGGAGTTATGCTGTAAGAACTTTATGTTTCAGAGATAAGCTTTCTCATGCTTAGAACTACTCGGTCATGATATCCTATAAGGTGGAAGAGTGGCTTTACACAGGATGGCCCCTTAAAGTGTTACTAAACCCAGGACCCTGCATTCACTATATCTGGTCTCCCACAGTACACTGAACATGGAAATGCAAACATATTTGTAAATATAAACTGCTAAATACATTTTCTTATCAGCAATTAGAGCAGTCTTGTGACTTCTATCAGTGTCCAACAGAGCACTGGTTAAAGCTTGTAGGTGGAGTTTTCATTCTCCCCTGATTGTCCTATGAGGCTGCAGGACCCATGACCCTCTGTCAGGAGAGTACTGATTGGCTCTGTGCTGAGTGGAGTGAGTGGAATTACCCTCTTAGACAGCTATCATCAGAACAGAAGAGTAGCCACTGACCCTCATTCTGGTGACAACTATAAAATATTGAATTTTTCCATTGCATTTTGTTTATGACAGCAGTCATCAGGACAGGAGTTCTAACCCTTCACTACCCTAAACTAAACAAAAAAATAGTGGATATTCATAAAATTAATTATGAGCCAAGCAGAAGTTAGTGTTCTCTGTACAGTGTCCCACATAGAATTACATGGATTTGAGACTTCACAAATAAATTGCAGGTACTAACAGGGTTCTGCACTTTGACAGTGTGGTTAGTTTAGACACTTTATCAAACTGACAGGATTGGCACAAACTGAGTTAGGAGAGGCCTTCCATGATTGTCCAGCAGTGTAATCCTCCATTGGAGATTCCACAGTAAGTGATTCTAACTCACCTGATCGTAATGATCTGTCCAAAATCCAGCTCATAGTTGTTGACTTGTGCTATGAAGATAGCTGCCACTGCTTCATACAGGGCTGTCCCATCCATATTGATGGTGGCACCCACAGGCAGCACAAATCTGGCAATCCGTCTGTCTATGTGATTGTTCTCTAGCAGACACTTGAATGTGATTGGCAGAGTGGCAGAACTGCAAAGACACAACAATGCACAACGTCAAAAAAGGTTTTCAGGTTTTACTTTATACATTAAATCATTGCATTGACATTTGTTATGCATCCTTTTCAAAGTAACAAGTATCACAATGGACAGTGCAGTAATATGACAGGCAGTGCCGGGACAAGGTAATTTAGGGCCCTGGGCGAACATACCAAATTGCCCCCCCAAGATGTATGAGCATTACGTGTCAGCAAAAATCCCCTCTCCCCCCAAAAAATAAATCGAGCACTAATCTGCATGCTTACCCCCTAAGCATAAATTCTCCTTCCTCCCAGTACAAATCTGCCCCCTGCTGAAATCCCCCCTCCCAGCACAAATCTTTGCCCCACCATCTGTCCCAGCTTAAATCCTATCTCTCTCCCCCCCCCCAAAAAAAAATCCCCTTCCAAGCACAGATCCTATGTCCCTCAAATTTCCCCTCTAGAACAGATTTCATCCGTACTAGCACATCCCCCTCAAAAAAAATCTCCTTCTACCCAAACCCCCCCCAACATATTGCCTTCTGTAGCATGAACCCCCAAAATCTCCCCTCCTAGCACAAATCTACTTCCCCCATCACCCCTTCCAACACAAATCCCCCCAAATCACCACTCCCCAAATTTCCTCTTCTTGAACAATTCCACCCTCTGACACCCCCCAAATTCCCCCTTCTAACACAAATTGCCTCCCTCCAATCTCCTCATGATGCCCCCCCCCCCACCTCACATGATACCACAGCTCCCAGGGCAGTCATTCTTCCTGCCCGCCCTTTGTCCCACCCTGATGACAAGGTTCAGTGATGCACTGGCAAGTGGCCTTTAATTTTTGAGGTTGACCTAAAAACAAGGCGAAATCTTGCTTGCTACACAATGCTGCCCACAGAAAAAAAAGAAAAGCGTAAACTAGATATAACACCCTCCAGGTTTAGTTAGTTGGGCTGATTGTTATTTCATTTTTTTAGATTGAGACTGAGTAGCAGCCTGTGATGGGCCAGCCTATGAGTGAAGCAGGAGTTTACCTCAGGACAGGCTAGGGAGGTTCTGAAGGTCAGAGCTTCTGGAGCCATCCCAACTCTCCAGAAACCTGAGGAGGAGAGGAGGCTCAGATCTGCATGCTTAAGGTACCTTGGCCAATCCCCTAGCAGGAGGCCGGGCATGCTGACCAAGGTAACCCTTACATATCCCAGAGCATAGGAGCAGAGTCAGTGAATGTTGGGTGGAAAATGGAGTGAGGAGCTGGAGTGTGGAGTCTGGGAGGGGGCCCCAGGGAGGGGAGTCCACCTGCAGGCAGGATTCTGGAAGGGAGGATTTCCTCTGTCCCATCATCTCCTTGTGAGGATGGCCTGTGAAGTAGGGAAGGAGCCAGCCCAGCATAAGGCCTAAAGACAGCCACCAACCCACCAAGCTAACAGGGAAAGACAGAGTGAGTACTCCTAAACCCCCTGGGCCAGAAAAGGGGAGAGGGGGTCAGGCGCAATACCCAACTAGACGACTGTGCTAAATTTACAACTCTTGGGTCCCCTTGCCCAGGGATAACCTCAAGGCAGCTGAGTGAAGAGGAGGTACACCAGAGGCTTTTGTGTTTTCAAAGTAGAGACTGCGCTATCCACATTTGTTTGGGAGGGCAGTAAACTGGTCCTTTTTTTAGAACATTTGGAGACCCCTGGTTTTAGGGAGACCCAAAACTCAGCAACTCCTAAGGGGGTAGTGATACATAGAGATAAGGGAGGTAAAAGCAGAGCATAGAAAAGATGGAGGATGGATAAAGTCAGAAGGAGACTTGAATGAGACTTGGGGTTTTGGCTGTACAAAGAGATAGACATCAGTTAAGAATTATTTGTCCAACAGGGCCATTGTCACCAAGTGCACTGCATCAGTGCAACAACATTTCTACCAGTACAAAAAGTTTTATATGTAACTTATGAATATGAATCAAACTCAGCAAGAATTACCTGGAGGATGTGGCTAATGCTATAAGCAGTGCCTGCAGCACTCCTCGAATAAAGACAATTGGGTTCTTCTTGGTGATAAACAAGTACATGATAGGGAGGATGAAGAGACCATGTACCACAAGGCCACACACCACAGTGATGGCATAAAATCCAAGCTTCTTCCCAATTGCTGTAGGGTCATCCATCTCCAGGATCTTGCCTGCGATAAGGAAGACAATCCCAAATGGAAAGTACCTGCAAGGTAAAAAGGACTTGCTGTGTTAGCTGGCCCTCAGTTTTCAAAACTTACACTCCTGATGCATTATTTGATATACACTACATGGCATAACATATGTGGATACCCCATTAAATTAGTGTGTTAAGGGATTTCCAATGAAGGGCAGAGCTCATGTAACAGCATACAAAGACTTTTTAGGCATAAAGGCATGGTTGGATGAGTCTGGTGTGGAAGTGGCCTGCACATTGGCTTCAACCCTACTGAATGCCTTTGGGATTAATTGGAATTCCCATTCTGATACATGCCTTCTTGTCCAATATCAGTACCTCACCTCACAAATGCTCTTGGTCGGATGGCAACAATTCCCACAGACACACGTTAAAATCTTGTGGAAAGCCTTCCTACAAAAGGCTCTCATAGACGCAAAGGAGAGAAACATCAAATTAATACCTATGGTTTTGGAATGGGATATCCCACAAGCTTGTATACTGTAGTTGTGATGATCAGCTGCCTACAAACTTTCAGCCTTGTAGTGTACTACATGACAGGTATAGTACTTCTTGACCAGCACACAGTTACTGGCGTCTACAGTGACCAAACAAGCCTATTAGAGAAGATATAGAAGTAAAGCACTGGTATTGTTACTGAACCTTTGTGTTAATTTTCATAACTTGCTTGTCTTAGAATACTACATATTACAGGAGAAACTGTAAGCGTTAGGTATCTGGGGTAAAACCTGCAGTTCTCTCTTTAGATTTCATATAAAAACTTTTGACAGTCTCTAAGTTACTAATTGTAACCTACTGGGATAAAGCTTTTATTTTAGCAAGCCAACTAAATAGGTGCTACTAGAAAGAGGAAAGTAGTCTTTCTCAGAAATAGCTGCCTGTTCCATACTCCTGTTCCCTGTAGATGTTGCTGCCTTATAGCCTACAGCACTTTTCATCCACTATCTGCTATGCTAATTTCTAGCTCCTATTGGATGTGTTCTCACATCAACATCAACTTTCAGCCATGAAAGAAGAGGAGGCAAATTGCCAAAGTAAGTTTCTTTCCTAATTCTTAAGTTTTTTTTGTTTTTAAATTGATGCAAAGATACGTGTCCTGTTGATTCTCCTTTGATAGGATCATTGCCCTTCTGGTTACAGCGCTAATGGCCTTGTACTTTCTTTCATGTTATGAGAGCTAGGCACACACAGTCTCTGGGATTGTCTTAAAATATTGTCTTTACCTATAGATTGTTCACTGGTTCCATATCTCTTAGATTGTAAGCTCTAACGAGCAGGGCCCTCTGAATCCTCCTGTATTCATTTGTATTGTAATTGTACCGTCTGCCCTTATTATTATTATTCTACAGGATTTATAAAGCACCCACAGTTTACACAGCGCTTTACAGTATAAGGGCAGACAGTACAATTGCAATACACATTAATACAGGAGGAACTTACAATCTAAGAGGGAGGGTCGAGAGATACAAAAGGTAATAACTGTGGGGGATGGATTGATGGACAAAATACATGTACAGTTTTTAGGTGGGGCAGGATAGGCCTCTTTGAAGAGATGAGTTTTCAGGGATCGTCTAACAGTGGACAAAGATGGAGATAACTGGACATTGGGGAAACGAGTTCCAGAGGATGGTAGAGGCTTTGGAGAAATCCTGGAGGTGAGCATGAGAGGAGGTGACAAGGGAGCTAGAGAGCAGGAGGTCTGGGAGGAATGAAGAGAATGATTTGGTTGGTATTTTGAGACCAGGTTAGTGATGTAACTAGGGGCTGAGTTGTGGATGGTTTTATAAGTTGTTGTAAGTATCTTGAATTTTATTTGTTGGGTGAGTGGGAGCCAGTGGAGGGATCGGCAGACAGGGGTAGCAGACACTGAACAGTTGGTAAGGTGGATAAATCTGGCAGCAGCATTAATGATGGACTGGAGGGGAAATAGCCTATGCAAAGGCAAGCCAGTGAGGAGGGAGTTGCAGTAGTCAAGGCGGGAGGTAACCAGGGAGTGTATTTAGAAGCTTTGTGGTATCATTGTTTAGGAAGGGGCGTATCTTGGAGATGTTGCGGAGGTTGAGGTGGCAAGCTTTGGACAGTGATTGGATGTGGGGCCGAAAGGATAGTTCAGAGACCAGGATTCCACCTAGCACCCTGACATGAGGAGACGGGTTGATGGTTGAGCCATTGATTTTCACAGAGAAGTCAGTAGAAGGGGCACATTGGGGAGAAAATATTATCAGTATCAGTATTGGACAGATACATTTTCAGGAAGTGGTGTGTCACCCAGGCTGATATGTTGCAATTACGTTGTAAAGCATTGCATAAACTGTTGGTGCTATATAAATCCTGTATCATAATAACATACACTACACAGTACACAGTCACCCACCATCTACTGTGCAGCATGATCACATCAGAGCAAATGATGCTGTTTGGACATGCATTTCTACCTCCATGGAGCTCACAATTAAATGTCCCTGATAGAAAATTTAAAAGAATGCTATTCGACCTACTAGAACAGGGGTCTCCAAACTATGGCCCTCCAGGTGTTCAGGAACTGCAAGTCCCATGAGGCCTTGCAAGACTCTGACAACCATAGGCAAGACTCCCAGAGGCAGAGACATGATGGGACTTGTAGTACTTCAACAGCTGGAGGACCATAGCTTGGAGACCCCTATACTAGAATGTTGTTTCGACTGTGTAAAAAAGAAACCCACTCACAAATGGGAAGAAGATGTGTGCAGATAATATCCCAGGTGGAAATTAGACCCATGTTATTATGTACCCATCCTCATACAGATAAAAAGACCATTGGACTCACCAAACAGAAACAGCTACAATCTTCATAACAGATTCATTTAAGCACTGACAGAAGCTGACAAGAGGAACTCCGCTTGTCCCCATGCGGCCCAGCATTATACCTAAAGGACACAGATAAATTAACAAGCTGTTCTCTTGATAATTTCACCAGATATCTGCAGTCAATTTATTTAAAAAAAATGAAGAAGAAAAGAAAGTGGACGTGTTCCTCAGGATAGCCAATTTATGTTTTCTTATATGTTTTCAAAATGTAAATCATCATGCTCTCATAGCATCACTTCTATGCTTCTTCTCTTGGTTACCTACACTTGCATTCAGAAGGTACAATGTTAAAGCAAAATAGGGGGATAGAATATACAACAGCAGACACCAGTAAGGTGGTAATGCTTTTTTCTCTAGCCCTCAGGAGCTTGCTCGGATCCTGAGCATTCCATTAAGAGGCCTAGAAACTGCCACACAGAATACAGAGACACACGTGTGGCAATTCAACATTTAAAGTTATATGCAAATCTTGAGCCTGGCCTTATCCCTTCTCACCTCTTATGCCTCTTATGGCTGCTTGTCACATTAAAGGACTAAAGTCGACCATAGATGGTTAAAATCTTGGCTGGTTCAGCAGGGATCAGTCGAGATTTGAACCATGTATGCGCAGGCTGAAAGTACCCAAGTTGATCGATCAATCTACTTGGCTACAACCAGTCTGTTGGATTTTACATGTGATTATTATTAGCGGTTATTACAGCCGCTAGCAGTAACCACTGTGTTCTCTTGCGGAGACGGCTCCCCCCCCCAACCCCCGCAGGGAGAACACAATAGTTGCAGGAAAGAAAATCGCTCCATCTATGGCTGGCTTACCAGGGAAACAGAAGGGAGAAGAAAAAAGTTTGACTTTGATAAGAAATGTCAACATTTACATACTGTACATCTCTAATGAAAGTCCTAACATATGTTTTTATTGAAGGTATCCTAATTTTTCCATTATATGTTCAGTAAGAATTGCTAAAGCTTTTGATCAAAAAGCTAAATAGCAGAAGAGTTGCGTGACTATACGACAGATAGATTATCATACCAGATCACATATATCATCCATTCATATAGGAGATGTGAATTTGCTGGCTGATCAAGCGCATGGAGACATGTTATTTTAACTATAAGACAGATGGGGAACCTGCATCGGGCCCCACGCTCCACAACAGCCTCTGGTCTATTATGGTTGCTGAAGTTCTTCCACTGTAAATATACTAAACATTCCAGCCTATTCCCAGTAATTGGGTTAATCCAGGCACACCTGGAATCTCCATTTCAAATGTAATTTTCCTCAATTATAGATTTTCAGTAGACGTCTGTGTTGGAAAGTCCAGAACACATGGGAGTTATAATTCTTAAGGTTTTATTTTTTTGCAAATATTTCTTCTTTACATCATGTAATATCTGAAAAAGGATACGAAGTGTCATGGAATATGATCATTTTGAAGTACAAATCAAGAACAAAAGGTTTTAACAAATGTGATTTTATTACAATTAATAATACACTGCAATGCTAAAGTCATAAAACCATTTACTGTATATTTGAGGTTTTCGACTTTGGCAGGCTGGTAAGGCATTTGCATGTGCAGCATTGCGTATATTCAGTTTTATATTCTGTAATCTTTCTTATAATGATTATGTGACTTTTAAAAGAGAAACCATGAGCTGAGCTTTAATACTTTCAACCTCGCCCGGATTGGGACAAAAAAAATAGGTCTGGGCATTTTAGACTGAGAAACCTGAGCCCGCGGGCACTTCCCTTGGAGTCCGGTGGAGGAATGGCGGGGCCTGAACTGGGTAGATCCGCCACTGGTGTCAGTAGGTTTTTTTTATTAATAATTTTTTATTATTTACCTTTTATTTTTTACAATTGTATTTTTTATTATTTTTTACCATTTTTTAGGAGCTTTGTTGGTGGGATTTAGTGAGATATCAGGGGTCTAAACAGACCCCTGACATCTCACCTTTGAGATGACCCCTTGACACCTCTCTCCATCTCTGCAGCCCTCAGCAGCACAGAATGAATGGACAGGAATATCTCTGTACAAAGCTTCATTCATAAACTGAAGTATTGTAAACACAGTTTCCTATGCCTCAGTTATGAATGGACACAGTTAGTGATCGATAATGATCACTGACTGTCCATTCAGACAAGGAAGGGTCCAGTAAATTACATATTTACCGGCCCCTTCCCCGCTCTCCATGCCGACAGATTCCCCTCAGTAGTCGGCAGGAGAGAGAAAGGGATAACCCGGTAGTGATGCGGGGAAGGAGGGGGAGCCGGCAGAGAGCACACAGGAACCTGAAGAGAGCACAGGGGAACCTGGAGAGAGGTAAGGGGCCCACAGACAGCAGAAGAAATATGGATAGGAGGAGCGGCGGGGCGGCATATAGAGGAACCGATGTGTCCATTTCTATCCTTCAACTACCGAATGACTGCAGGAGGCAGAGGAGGATAAGCAGAGATTCAGCAGTGGCAGGAGGGAAATGGATGGATTGGTTCCTCTACATGCTGCCAGAAATTCAGAATGCGCGTAATTCTGTGCATTCTGCCTTTGCTACACTGAAATTTCAAGACGGTAAATCAGCCCTGCCTAATTCATCTCTGTGAACTACAGAATATTTCCCCTTCACCCCCCTCCCCGTTATGGAGTCAAGGATAGGAAGAGATGTTCTGTAGTCCAAATCAGCAGCAAGCAGTCTAGGGTTATGATGCCGCTCCTTCAAAGATACGGTACAAGGAGTGAGTGTTGCCTCCCTAGGACAGGAAGGGTGTTACTGGCAAGATAACCAGGTGAAAAAAGGCAAAAAAAAATAAAACTAATGTGACCACCATATCTTTAGCACGGCTTCAATATTTTATATTTGTGTACTTTGGTTTAGGTACACTTTAAATAGCATGGAGGTTATGTTATACGGTAAGTTTAGATGCAAATAAATTAGTCCAAAAGAAAATCTTCCCTCTTATAACAAATACTCTACCTATATATAAAACAACACGACTTTCCCCATATAATTATATACGTGAACTAACACAAAATCATAAAGTCCAGTGTCTCAGTAATCAGAAACAAATCATAAAAGTCCAGTGTCTCGATAATCAAAAATGGTAGAAAAAAAAAGATATATTTTCTTGCAGTGTTGATTGTGTTCAATGATTTTTGTGAAAAACCTCAAAAATAAAGAAACTCACAATAGTGCATTACCATAACATAATCAAAAAAAAATAAATAAATAAAAAAATAAAATATATATATATACCTATATATACACATACATGCACACATAAATGTGTATCATAAAATTGTGCAGCACTAAGTGATATAAAATAGTGAAACACTTGTGAAAACCTCCCAAAAAGATAATATAACACTCGTGCTCAAAAATTATGAAATCCTGAAGTGATCCACTCAGTGAGACTCCTACCTACACGTGACACTTCTAGTGAGTAAGGCAAATATACCCTTACCAACAGTAGAAAGAACCCACGCCTTTATAGTATAATTTGTAGAAATCCTTCAAAGGAACTTTCTCCTCCTCTCCTCCTTCACTTATTGTTAGGGTAATGTTGTAATGCCATCCACATTCGCAGGTCTATTATCATGGATTTACCAGGCTCCAGTATAATGGAAATTAACCATGACGTACCTCCATGTATATTCAGAGTAGTAACATTTTAATAAATCTGCTTACATTTAAAGTTAAAAATTTGCGAGTTGGAACAAAACCCCACTTTGTGGGGATTACCAGGCAGTTCCCACAGTTTCCCAGGCAGTTCACACACGAGGTATCCAGCGATTCCCCAACAAAGATGGCCGCTGTAACACTTCCGGTTCCTGCTCTTGCGTATGACGTCACTTCCTCTTGACGCGTTTCGTCACATCCGGGACTTAATCATAAGAGAGGTGTATATATATATATATATATATTTATTTATTTATTTATTTTTTTGATTATGTTATGGTAATGCACTATTGTGAGTTTCTTTACTTTTGAGGTTTTTCACAAAAATCATTGAACACAATCAAAATATATCTTTTTTTTCTACCATTTTTGATTATCGAGACACTGGACTTTTATGATTTGTTTCTGATTACTGAGACACTGGACTTTATGATTTTGTGTTAGTTCACGTATATAATTATATGGGGAAAGTCGTGTTGTTTTATATATAGGTAGAGTATTTGTTATAAGAGGGAAGATTTTCTTTTGGACTAATTTATTTGATTTGAAGCTTTCAGGGGTTGAAAGTTTTTTCCAATTTGGAATTAGTGTAGGTTTAGGGTTTTTTGATTTGGTATTATATTCACACTGTATTTATAAGTTTAGATGCAGATTGAACTTTCTTTTTTGTGCTTTTTATCTACAAATAATCTATAATTCTATCATCTATAATATATGCATATTACTATATTTGACGTCTGCTTTCAAGAGGAAATCTTTAGATATGTCATACCCATAGTGGCTGAAAATATGACAATGCCCAGTACATTCATTCCCTCGCTGGTTCCGGGCTCTGACTTGTAGACCACATCAGGGGAGGGGGTGATATCCAGAGCAAAGTTCTGTATATGTGATCCATTCTCATCCTGGATTCCATAGATGAGGATTCTGTGCGTTATACTGTCCGAAGAGGTTGTCTTCCCACTTTTTACCACAGGCACATTCTTGGTTCGATACTAAAAAAAGAATAATAGCAACATAGTGTGTTTTGTAATACATTTTCTTTATGTACTGAAGATACCAAATGGTAACTATTTTGTGGCGGCAATATGACGTTTTAAGTGCAAATGTGAAATGCCTCTCCACTGAGATTGTTGATTGACCTTGTAGCACAGAACTAGGAATGTGCAACTGTGTGTGTTCCTAGTTCCCAGTGCCAATTTCAGTCATAAATCAATTTGCTGGTCTGGGCATCTAAGCTTAAAGGAGAACTACAGCCAAAGGTTTTTTGGCTGTACTTCAACTGTGGATCACAGGAGTGCAGTTCGTTCTGCACTCCTGTGACCCGTTTTCAGCTGATAGCGGACTGAAGTCTGCTGTCGGCTGATGTCATTCAGCCAGTCCAGGCTGGGGAAAGATCCCGACTTCAAAGTCGGGATCCACCCCAGACTCTGGAGCGGCACTTGGCTCAGCCTCTCAGCGATCTGCTGAGAACTTGAGCCAGCTGCTCTCTCCCCCTCTACAGCTCAGCACTCCAGTGACTGACAGTCCCACTCTCTGCTCAGAGCGACTGTGAGAACTCAGTGATCATGTGATCCTTAGAGCCAGCAGGGGAAAAATGCTTCATCAGACCAATGCTGCGTCCACCTAGGTAAGTATAAATAGTGAAAAAAAAATCCACACTTCTCTTTAAAAAAAAAAAACCACATTGGTAAAGAAAAGATGAAATACATTAATTTCATATTTACCACTTACAACCAGCAGGCGTTAGGAGAAAAGCTGCAGCTTTCTGGAGCCCAACATACAGATTTGCTGTGATATACTGTATATAACCAGGTAAGTTCAGATTATTAACCCAGAAAAGGGACTCCACTTCATCTCCTGGAAGAGACAGGACTCCACTGGCCTAACCACAGTTTACAAAGCCATCCACAACACTGCCCCTAGCTAAGTCACCAACCTCATCCGCAGATATCGTCCAAATTGCCCACTCCGCTCATCCCAAGACATCTTTCTCTATAGCTCTCCCATCACCTTCTCCCATGCTCACCTCCAGGACTCCTCCAGAACCTCTCCCATCCTCTGGAACTCCCTACCCCAGTATGTCCTGTCAGCCTCCACCCTGTCTGCTTTAGGCAATCTTTCAAAACTCATTTATTCAGGGAAGCCTACTCCCACCTCCACCTAAGAACTGTGCTTGAATCACCTCCACCAGATCATCCCCCGCAGCTATCACCTTTTGTATCACCTTCCCCTTCCTTGTAAGCTCCATGAGCAGGGCCCTTCTATTTCTTCTGTACTGAAATCTATTGTAATTGTACTGTCTCCCTTATATTGTAAAGCGCTGCGCAAACTGTTGGCGCTATATAAATCCTGTATAATAATATTCAGTTGAATATAGAATGTGTTGGTATGCCATGACCATCTCAAAAGAGCATTCTGATACCAACATCTCTTTTAATGTCAGAAAGTGCATTGTTTGTACAAAGTACACAAGTATTTAAAAGTATCAGACATAGAAAGCAACACTGTATCAAAACCTGGGTAAAAATTCTAAATTGTTATATCCATAAATCTAAATATAAGGTTTTAATAAAAGTTATTTTCTTTTTATAGGCATAATGTCTCACGTGGTAACATCCCATATAGTTTGAAAAAAATTCAGATTGTCTACAAGCATTCAGGCAGTGCTGGGCATTCTGGTTAGAAAGCCCAGTACTGCAAGAAGTAATTACTTGTTTAGATCTAGTGGAAAAATAAAGGAAGATTTTATTACCCAATCCCCTCCCCAGTGCCGGATTTAGATCTTGGGGGGCCCAGGGCACTTCAGGTTCGGAGGCCTCTCAACATAGAAAATAAATTATATGACAAGATTCGGGACATGGAAAAAACCCACTCCTTAGGAATGGCATTCACTACTACTCTTGGTGAAAGACACATAAGGAAGGAAGGTCCTCCACTCTGCCGATTTCGTCTGACACCCTGCAATGTAATTCTGGTCAAAATTCCAATCCAAGGCCACACTTGTCCCAAATTCGACCAGCCTCTTAATTCAAGGAGTGTCGAATTCATCCCTTGACCCAATCAGGGCCAAGCAAGGGAGTGAGCTTCTCTCTCAGGTTTCTCACTGTGTGTGGTTATTAACTTCATTTCCCAAATAATGGGGTCAGTGCTGTTGCCTGACTCGTTCCAACATTTTTCAAACTTTTCTGTTGTCTCACCCACTTATCTCTTGTAAACAAGGAAATAAATAACCTGACACAGTCATGTTGAAACAAACATCTCAAGTAGTAAAATAAAATGAGATGTTCCTTATCTCTTTGTTTGCCTCTAAAGTCAGGCTTAACTTTTCCCTATCCTAACACCCAAGAACAATTTGTTAAATATTTTTATAATAAAGCTAATTTTAAAATTATTACTTTTTAATAAAGGAAGTCTGGGGCCCCCTCTGTCAGGGGGGCTGGGGCAATTGCCTCTTTTGCCCTTTTATAAATCTGGTACTGCCCCCTCACCCCCCCATGCTAGACCAGTCCCTGCAGCATCTGCTTCTGCATGCTCCACCAGTTTAGGGTGCTGATGTCATCAAGACCAGAACAGGGTCCATAGACCTGCACAGGACATGAGGACACAGAGGGACAACCCACCACCAGATTGTAGGGGAGCACCACCTGCTGAGGTACTAAGGGAGTGGAGGTACAGATAAATAAAATAGTTTCTCCTCTCTCCTAGACAAAACAAGCTATTAAACCTTGTAGTGCGATTTTGAAGTCTGTAAAACCAAAACTCCGGATATGTATTCTTGTTCCTAGGCCGTTGACTCAAAATAATGATTGTACTAGTTCAGTGTGACAGCCAGATAAATAGCATTTTGGTTTTATGAGTATCTCAAATTTATTTTTCATTATGTTTGGCATCATGTCTCACTGTATACAGTTTTCAATTTTTGTAAATCAATTCAAAAGTTTTTCTTCAAGTTACATCATTTCCTGTTTCCGGGTGACAACACTAAGCCTATCAGTCTGCAGGAGGTATACGCAGACCTGATAGGCAGCCTAACAGAATGATTACTCTATCCAAAATGTAAAATGAACACTTTAGACCCATCACTAACAGTTTATAGCAAAAATATACTGAGAAATGAGAAATAATTAGTCACACTGACCTGCTTGAAAGTTGCCTCCACAAGGTTTGAAGGAAACATGTTCCTAAGTAAACAAAAAATGGAAAAAAAGGCAGTCAGAGATGATATCTTTAATAAATGATTATTGTATACTGTTGGTCAGTTTTATTCACTGTACAAACAGCACATATTGGAGCTAGCATAAAGATGCTGGTGCACACAAATAGCTGTATATCTAGTCATTTTGTCCACATCACAAGTCTCCTATGCCATTTCATCATAAGAAGGTATAGAACAGTGACCCCCCTCCCCATCCTTCAGTTTATACAATACATAACTGTTACCTGGTGCCAGAACCTTCTTATCTGACCAGGACAGTTACAGGCCCTCTCATACCTATTAGCCACATTCCAGTCTGGGAACCCCTAATAAAACTGTCACCCTTGCAAGCTTGAGTAATCTGGAGAACTAACACATATCCAGTCGTAAATAGCTCAGCTGAAGGGAATGGCCAACGTACCTTCCCCTCCCTCCTAGATTGTAAGCTCCAAGGAGCAGGGCCCTCCAACCCTTCGTGTATCACATTGTATTGGTATTGTACTGTCTCGTGTATTGTCTCCCATTGTAATGTACAGCGCTGAGCGAACTCTTGGCGCTATATATATACTGTATAATAATAATAATACCTTACTGATAGACTTGTTATCAGTCAAGACTCTAAAACTTTAACATGTTTCATAACTCATGAAATAATGACAGCACAGCTAGAATATAGGCCTCCCTCAGTTAATGGGTAGTATTGTGAACCCAAACACGTCTATGCTAGGAGGTACCAGAGTGGATTAGGCCTCCACACCCCTCCTATGAGAAATTGTCATCAGAGAACTGTCATATCTATATCCATTTTGAAGCTAATTTCATGCTGGACAATAATCTACATGTTAACAGACTGTAAACAGTAGTTATTCAGAAATATGAATACTCATAGAAAACTATATTTGGGACCTGGTCATAAACGTGGTGACCTCCCAGCAACCACCAATTAAACGGATGATTGGTCAGATGGTCTCTGTCAACACCCTTTTGATACCCAGAAAAGGAGAATACCAGGACACTTTGACATCTCTCCTGTACCATCAACCAAGGAACAGGTTATGAGAGCCCATAACTCCTTCTTCACCCTTGACTGAACTCTGCTAAAACCAAGGACTTTGCAAGTATTTACTTTTTCTCACCTCTTTGTCTTGCTCTCTTTCTTGTTCTCTTTGTTACATTGTAATATCTTTGTTTTTGTAAATATTTTATTTGCACCATTTTCAACTTTTCATTAAGAAACCCTATTTTGAAAACTGTTGAAATTGTCTCTAAATGTGCTAATGAAAACTAAAAGAATCCCTGTCTCTTGAAAAGTGCTACTGTAGTATAATTCTCTGAATAGACCTGTCTGTGGTGACTGTTGGGTTTATTTACTAAAGCTGGAGAGTGCAAAATCAGGCTCATTTCTGCATAGAAACCGATCTGCGTGTTCAGTATAGCATTGGCAATAAAACCTGGAAGCTGATTGGTTTCTATGCAAAAGCAAGCAAGCCTGATTTTGCACTCTCCAGCTCTAGTAAATAAACCCCAGTGTGTGTTACAGACGTTCATTTTAAAATCATAGTAGTTATTGCTAAGATTGTGAGTTTCCTCCTTCTCATTAAAAAGATGATGGTGGTAGCTTCAAGAGTTAATTGCTTGTGACAATCGCTCTCAGGCTGCTGGCACCTAGATTATGGTCCTGCGAGCTGGAAAATGTTTGTGCTGGGTTTAGGCTGAGAGTGGCATTGTTACTTAAAGCGAAGCTCCACCCAAAAGGGGAAGTTCCACTTTAAGCCTTTGTCTCCCGTTCACTATTAAGGATTGGCACCTTTTGGGGGGGGGGGGAAGCGGGTACCCCCTGACAGGTACCCGCTCCCACTTCCACTGTAATCACCCAGGTGATCGGAAATGGAAGTAGTTCCCCCCTCCCTCCCTGTAGTCTTCTGGGACACGTGACAGGTCCCAGAAGACTACGGGGCCATTCACAAAGCGCAGAGTCTCTCGCGCATTTGCAGGGGGCACCCAGCTGTGAAGCCGCAAGCTGTCACAGCCGGGTGCCCACGCTGAAGATGCCAGTGCCAAGGAGAGGCAACGGCCAGTGAAATCAGAGGTGGTGAGGACACCGCTGGACCAAGGGACAGGTGAGTGGCTGTATTTTAAAAGTCAGCAGCTACAGTTTTTGTAGCTGCTGACTTTTTTTTTTTTATTTTCAGGTGGAACTCCGCTTTGACCCTAGGTTCACATCTGTGCGGGTGGTGCCGCTGCGGATCCGCACGAAAATCCGTGCAGCCGCACCACCCACACAGAGAAATGCGGACCCGCGGGCAGGTGCCATTAGTTCTAATGGCACACCGCCCGCACTGGAAAACACAACCGTACTGAGAACCAAGGTTCCTGTGGGGGCTGTGTTTTCCAAAGAAGTGCAGGGACTTCTTTCCGTCCATGGCACGGGAGTCCATTCAAATGAATGGGCTCTCATGCCCGTGCAAAACGCAGCCAGCGTGGCCGCATAGGTGTGAACCGGGGGTAAGTGACAGTGCGGTGTGAGATTGGCCAGTCCTTTGTCAGTTGGTGAGAAGGGCAGAGAGTTGGGCCCCATGTTCGTCATATAAAGCACTGATGTAGGTTACCCTACACTCACCTATAGATCAGAAGAACATGGAAGCTGTAGATCTTTGGACTAAAGACTCAAGCATGATGTCTTTTAATGAGGAGTCCATGTTACAAAATGACAGGACCGCAGCAAATTTTGGTTTGACTAAGCAGCCACTTTAAGACTGTGCTAGCTGCTCTGTAATTAATGATAAAAAAAAATAAACTGCCCTTCTTCAGTATTTTGTCATATAAATTAAAGTGTTCAATAAACAACAGAAAGGGATGCCAACCCAAATTGTTATAACTACTATCAGGGAGAAGCAGCCCTCCAAAGTATATTAACACTCTATAAAATTAAATAACAAACCAAGGGCGCTATTCCCAGTATTATTGTGCTTACAAAAAACCACAGTGTATGATTTAAAAATATGTGTCTAATCTCACAACATATTCATGTGAATAACATAAATAAAATGTCCATTCAAAATAGATAGTCCATGCAGTGATTACATTAAGGCTTCATGTACACCAGCCTACCCTGACCACCGGCTGCGGGAAAACGCAAATCGTGGACAAATTGCAGCAAAACGCATATAGCAGTCTTGTGATTTCTATCAGTGTCCAGCCGAACACTGGTTAATCTTGTAGGAGGAGTGTTCATTCTTCTCTGACTGTCCTGTGAGGCTGCATACCCCTGACCCTCTGTCTGGACAGCCCTGATTGGCCCTGTGCTGATCACATGCACCTTTCCAAAGAAAAAAAAAATTCCCTAGCAATACACACCAAACAGAGCATGTGCAGACTTGACACTGCTGCTCAGATGAACTGGGGACAGCAAAATAAGGGGAGGATCAGAGAAGACAGAATCAAACAGTCTTTTTACACAATCCAGAGAATTAACCCCTTAGGTTCCACAATGAGTATAACAAGCATGCTTTACTGCGTATACTGACTGATTTTACTGTTGTGGTTTTAATAACACTTTAAAGGATGGTGTGAAAATTCCATTGTCAAGTAAGGAACAGTACATTTTGTCCTCGTTCATGCGTTCCTTAAACCTGTAACAAACCTGGGCAACATAAACTCTGCATACAGTAAAAACAAAATGGGGGTGGACAAATTAATATGAAATCAATGAGCCAGAGCATCTAATGTAGGAACCAGCAGATTTTATTCAGGAGCCAGCTCCATTGACAACTAGAGAAAACCTTTGAAAGCTAGGTCCCCTTTTGTTTTTCATTTTGTGTAGCATAAGAGTGGATTACAACTGCTTTTAGTTTTTGGGGTTTTTTTTGCCATCTGAGTCTCATTGATGAGATTTCCCTGTCCCATAGCCACAACCGGAAGTGAGAGGAAATCCTTCCAAAGTGAGGTAAATCCCTGGTTCTCACAAGGGTCACCAGAATTAGTGGAAGACTTTCCCTCTATTCCTGTTCTGGTGACCACACAACAGTTGTGATTTCCTTTTAATTTCACTTTTGGTGAAAACAGTCACCAGGACAAATAGAGAGAGTGATTCTCTCTAACTGGGACAGAGATAGCAATACAAACCTGGCAAGGTATCTCAGCAGAGGGTGTGTTGGACCTCTGTAGACGAACGACTATTTCCTCACAAAGAGCAAATGTTTTACTCTACAGTGGGGGGTCTCCAAACTTTATAAAAAAAAGGGCCAGTTTACAGTCCTTCAAACTTTAGGGGACCAAACAGTGGCCGGAGGGAGAAGAAAATGTCCTGGCATCAGTGAGCGTAGACAATTATCCATCATTTTTATTAAGGGGAGTAATAGTGTCCCTTCGTTGGTATCAATCTGAGGAAGAGTGCCCCATCATTAATGTCAGTGGGAAGAAATGGTGTCCCATTGTTGGGTGTCAATGGGAGGAATAGTGCCCATCATCGGTTTCAGTGGGAGGAATAGTGTCCCATTGTTGGGTGTCAGTGGGAGGAATAGTGCCCCATCATTGGTGTCAGTGGGAGGAATAGTGCCCCATCATTGGTGTCAGTGGGAGGAATAGTACCCCATCACTGGTGTCAGTGGAAGGAATAGTGCCCTATCATTGGTGTCAGTGGGAGGAATAGTGCCCCATCGTTGGTATCAGTGGGAGGAATAGTGCCTCATCATTGGTGTCAGTGGGAGGAATAGTGCCCCATCAATGGTATCAGTGGGAGGAATAGTGCCCCATCATTGGTGTCAGTGGGAGGAATAGTGCCCCATCACTGGTGTCAGTGGAAGGAATAGTGCCCTATCATTGGTGTCAGTGGCAGGGAGCTATGCCTCACTGTTGCTGACTGTGGGAGGAATAATGCCCCAAGGGTGGATGTAGGCAAGCAAAGGGCTGCAGTTTGGAGGCCATTGCTCTACAGAATGCTGGCAAGAGAGAGACCTTTCTACTCAACTCGTGAGACATTGAATA